GAACACCCCCTGCCGCAATGACAAAGACAATAACGGCTGGACAGCCAAAATGTTAATATGAGAAGGAAACTATGCACACAATGAAAATCAAAGGCAGTATGACCCAGGGCTCTTTGCACAAATTCATATAGCAAGCATAAGGGCCTGGAAAAAACTCCCTTCGAAAGGAGATTTGAGCTTCTCCCTTACTAACATTAGACAAGGGCCTGATGCGCCTTTTTCTGACTTTGTACATCAATTAATTACCACAGAGAAAGAATATTCGGTAATGCTGATGCAAGTACAGACGTAAAACAACTGGCACATGAAAATGCTAACGCTTCTTGTCAGGCAGCCATTAGACGCCAAGTCACTGAGGTTCTTATTTAAGACCAACTAGATTCCCTGGCTGAGGTGGTTCTTCAAAATAGACGAGGTTTAAATTTCTTCCTGTCAGAATGGGGGGGGGGGCTCTGTCTTGCTTTTCTGCTGCTTTTACGCCAACAAGTCCGGCACCTTTCGCGACAAAATATATCAACTCCAAGAATCTCTCCAACAATGTAGAAAACAACTCGCGGATGGTCTGCCTAGAACGGTCTCCTCCCTTTCCTGCTCCCCCTCTTAGGCCCATTCATTGGCCTTTTAATTGTTTGCTCACTGGGACCTGTTATATTTAATGGGCTCATGTCATTCCTCCAACAACAAATTAACTTGCTTACTATGCAGCCTATCCAGGTCCACTATACTAGATTGGAGATGGAAGACCAACAACACCCCTATACTGGTCTCGCCTGCGGCGCTGAATCGGTTAGCCAAAGACGGGTAAGAGAGAGAGTCTGATGAACCCAATAACTGTTCAGTCCTTCCACCTAAGACTGGAGGCCCATCGTAGCTATGTGACTCTCCAATGATGGGTAAGAATGGATGTATGGTTCCATAAACGACTCCAACCTAAGACAGGCACGATTCCCCAGGTCTTTTCCTCATCTCTCAAATTAAAACAGAGAAGGGGGTATGTGGGAGGCTGCGCACCAGCGAATATCTCCCGGTTTCTCAGAGAGCAAACAATTACACAATGCCAAAAGCCATGATTGGCTTCCCTTCAAAAATCTCACCTTCAAAGCTATACTCTGATTGGCCACTAGAATCCCTCAGATTTGCATATCTGGCACCTCATGATTGGTCCACAGAGCAACCAATCATAACCCACTTTTTACAACCAATCATGGCCCACCAACATGTATATAACCACCATCCCTGGCCTACAATCACCAGATGACCCTGAAGAGCCTGAAGAGTTGTAACACCGCATTGTCTCCAGACGACCCTGAAGAGCCTGAAGAGTTGTGACACCGCGTCGTCTCTGGACGACCCTGAAGAGCCTGAAAAGTTGTAACACCGCATCATCTCCATACGACCCTGAAGAGGTGTGACACTACGTCATCTCCGGAGTCTCCAGAAGACCCGGAAGAGTTGTAACACTGTGTCGTCTCCATACTGCCCACAATAAACGGACGACCCTGAAGAGTTTTAACACTGCGTCATTCGTCCTCTCACTCCTTCCCTCAGGAAACCTGTTCGACTGTCTCCCGGGTCAGGACACCCGGGGATACCTCTGCCAGCCCTCTCCATGCATGTACCACGGGGGAAGAAGTCCTGGCCCAGTATCTACAACAGCAACAGCCTAGGGCCACGAGGTGTGTGGAACACAACTTCCCTTCTCCCAGACCTCTCCCCTAACTTCCTCTCACACACCTGCCTCTTCTACCCCACAGCTCTTCCCACCTGCTGCTGACGCCCTGCCGGGTGGCTCCTCCCTACCCTCACCTCTTCTCCAACTTGATCCAGCAGGGTGTGGTTCTTGAAGGTCCCCCTGTGGGAGCAGGTTTGTAGCAGGGGAAGAAAACAGATCTCAAGGATGGGACAGGTTTCTTTCTTTTCCTGGATGCAAAGTACTTACTAGGCCAGCTCATGGGGTGGTGGTTAAGGAAGCTGAGTCCCACATGACTGAATGCACTGTTCAAACCCCAGACCTGAGCACATGTGTGTACACAAATCCCAACAGGAAGAAGAAATGGAGAAGGGACTCCCCCTTGGAGAGGTGTTTCTTTACGTCTGTCTCTCTCCTGCGTGCAGACACATCCCCTGGAAATTAAGCACTTAAGTGCACAGTTGAACATTCCTTTATTCACCGCATCCCCCTCCACCTGGAAGTGTTCTTCCTTGGGAGTACTGCTATACCGTGAGGACAGTACACAAATTCACTGGTTACTTTACAGTCACGTCTACCCTGGGCCCAGACTTGCCCGTCAGTACAGCAAAGTCCCAGGGTAGCACAACAGTCCATCGCAGTCTCACTCCTCTCTCCCCACAGCAGGGGACAGTGTCCCCGTGTTTGGGGCCTTGTGCTCCTCTGCATCCTTGCACCGCACCCTGGGAGGCTTAGCCAGAGAGCTCACCAGACTCGACCTGCGGCACTGGGCCAGCTTCCTGGCTGCTGGAGTGGAGCAGGATGACGTGGAGGAACTGCTGCAGGAGCTGCACAGCCTGGCCCGGTGCTACCAGGACAGCGACAGCCTCGTGGACTAACGCTCCAAGGGTGGGGGAAGAGCTAGTTTGCGATAAAACTGCTGGATGCAGGAGCCCAGTGTCTTCAGGCAGAAAGCTTGGTGTCTTGGGACCCACTACACCAACATATGCACTGTTTACACCTGGAAACACTGTGATTCACTCACAGCACAATAAATAGATACCACCAGACAAAAGTGGAAAGGAACTGAGCCCGTTCCCTCTCTGCCGTGTACACAGTAGATTGGGAAGGGCTTCACAAAAGACCTGGAGTGATGCGTAAGGTGGCAGAGCCCGGCCCTCTCCAGCCTCCAGCCTCCGTGTCCTCGTCCGGAGCGCCTGCTCTCCAGCTCAACGCTGAGCTCCAGGGTTCAACAAGCAAGTGCACCCCCAACGTCAGGATGCCTGTTGGGTCTGATTCCGTGTGGGTGACTCTCCCACTCCAGTCTCACTCATCCAGCTCCTCCTCAGACAGAAGGTCCCCACGGTCAGACAGCTGGTCTGTGTTGCTGGTACTGGTGGCGTCCTCCTCGTCCTCAGAGCTGGCCTCACAGGCTGTGTGGAAGAGCTGCATGAGTTCTCGAAATCGATGAGAAACCTGGCAGGAGAAAAGCAACTGCTGTTCCCAGGATGGCAACATCTGCCAGTTGTTACGCGCGATCTACCAAACCGAAAAACTTACTTATTCCACACAGCGAGGTTATGACATGTGTGTCCTTGTAAGATGAAACTTAAGATGCTAAGTATTTAAGCTAAAGTCACACCCCCCCACAAAAACTAGGATGGAAACTCGGGGGCTTCTACCTCAATATTTGAATGCCTTTTCAAAAATTTTAAGTGGTTTTTGCTATAGGGCACGTGCACTCGTCAGAAAGACAGAGACAGCGAGAAATCACCCCCTGGGGGGATGGCCATGCCACAATCCCTTCTCCATTCTCCTCTCAGGATCTTGGGCACGCACACACATGCATCCGGTGTGAGTTTAAGCCACCGGGTCCGAGACTAGAACCATGGGAATCCAGCAACATAGCCATTACACCAACTGCTGGTCTCCCCCTTAAAAAATTTTTTTTTAATTTTATTTAACTTTATGTATTTATTTTAACTTGACCAGAAAGGAACAAAAAGAGTGAGAAGGAGGGAAGAAGAGAAAGCAAGCCGCCAGGTCCAGTACTCAAACTGGTCAGCCATATGAGAGTTCAGGACCCTCAACCACAATGCCACCTGCCGGACCCAAGCGCCCATTTTCTTAAAAATAGTTTTTAATTTTATTTATTCATTCATTTATTTTAATTTGACCAGAGAATGACAGAGACAGAGAAAGTGAGAAAGCAAGCCTCCAGGTCCAGGACTCGAACCGTGGTCGACCATGTGGGAGTGTCCAGCGACTTAACCACCACGCCACCTACTAGTCCCCATTTTTTTAAAGCTTAAAGAAATCGGGGGAACCAGCAGTTAGCATAATGGCTATGTCGCTGGACTCCCATGGGGTCGACTGTGGTTCAAGTCCTGGACCTGGTGCCTTAAGCTCAAACCGGGTGCGTGTGCCTGAGTGCCCAAGGTCCCAAGAGGAGAATGGAGTCTTTTTCATGATAGTGTATGGTAACTCACTCGAGAGTGAAAAAGCAGGATCCCTTTCCCCAACCTTCCGGCTTTATCAGGTCTTGGGCACACATGCACAGGTCTGGCACGGTTGCTAGCTGACCCAGGGATCAGGACCCCCAGTTGGCCATGTGGCTTCCAGCGGTGCAGCTCCGTTTGCTACAACCATACCACCAGGCTGGGCTTCAATGCCCCTTCTCTGCCCCCAGGATCACTGCTGCACCAGCAAGTCAAGTCCTTTCTTAAGGTAATACCTTGAGGGGATTACCAGTAGGTGGCGTGGTGGTTGGGACCCTGGACACTTCCCACAAGGCAGACCAAAGTTCAAGTCCCGGACCTGGTGGCTTCCTTTCTCACTTTCCCTCTGTGTCTCTCTCTGGTTAAATGAAGGAATAAATAAAAAATTAAAAAAAAAAAAAAAAAGATAGGACCTAGAGGGTAACTACTTAGTATCTTAAATTTGCAAACAACTCCTTTTGTCCTTCTGTCTCAGCCAATGGCTCCTGCCTGGCGGGCCTTGGGAACCTCTGCTGCACTCACCTCAGCAGGGGTTTTGTTTCCCAGCTGCTGGGAGATGCTGCTGAAGGTCTGAGGCTGTGCTCCTTGCTCCTGACACATGGTGAGAATCACACGGTCAGCTTCCCTGCAAGCACACAGCCCGGGGTTAACCCGCAGAGCCTCACAGATGTGCTCCATGCTCGTCCCAAACCCGCCGTCCAGCCCACCTACCTTGTCCACAGGACCACCTTCTCCCCAGTGGAGCTGACCTTGCTGTTGTTGGCACACACTGTGGCTTCTGTCGCCTTTGGCTGCTGCTCCCCCTCAGGACCCTTTCCCTGAGCTCCACTGTCTCTAGCCAAACCCCCTTTAGGGGCTCTGGGAGAACTCTCTGAGGGGTTGATTCCCGGGGAAGATGCATGGCCAGGGGACATCCCGTGGGCGGTCTTCACCCCAGTCGTGCTCAAGGGCAGCCAGTTCTGCATGTCGGGTTTCCCAGATGTATGTCTTTTCCCTCTGTCTCTGGTCCTTGATGAAACGGGACTCAGGAAGGAAGCAGGAGATACACCAGTCCCAGGCAGTTCCGTGGTGTCCGCCGTACCCCAGGCCAGCACCGACGCCTCCGCCTCACCCACGGCCTTTTGGCCCTCCCTCTCCTTCTCAAGTCTGGGGGACGTCTTAGGGCAGGAGAGAACCTTGGGCCCAGCCTGGTTTCTCCCAACAGTGTGCAGTACAATTCCAGTGTGGGGAGGAAGCTGAGGAGTCTCTGGAGAGCGAGGTGGCGGGCCATCCAGGATGGGGCGCTCTGTGACAGTCACTTCTTGAGGGGACGGCAAAGTGCTCCCCACTGCCAGTCCTGCTTAGGAGGAAAGTAAGGATGGGTCTAAGGGTGTGGACAGGGTCAAAATGCACCTAAGCACTAAAAAGAGGTCACGTGACTGTGTGAGCTCCTGTGATAAAGCTCTAAGGTAAAAGGCTAGGGTGGAGGGGGGTGGGGAAAGTCACTTATGCAAGGCTGTAAATCCTTAGTCAACTTCAGTTTAAGTCCTGGACCCAGCATCTTAAAACTCACACCAGAGAAACTAGCACTTAGCATAATGGCTATGTCGCTGGACTCCCATGTAGCCGACCACAGTTTGAGTACCTGACCCACTGGCTTAAACTCACGCCGGGCGCGTGTGTGTATGTACCCAAGATCCCGAGAGGAGAATGGAGAAGAAGGTAAATCCTAGTTCCGAAGCTGAGAAAGGTCGAGTCTTTAGAACACGGGTTGCAGAGAATTTCAAGGGAAGTGGGAGGGCTTCAGGAAAAGGAGCACAAGAAGAGACATTCAATTATGTCAACTGCATAGCACCCTTAAATGCAGGGGAGTGAGTCCGTAGGAGAGCAAGTGGAGGCTGCTGGGAGAAGGGTTTCCTATGGGTCTGTCGGTGGTACGTCCTTCCCTGAGAAGGCTGCTCTCTATCCAGGCTCAGAGAGGCTCCTGCGCAACCAACGGGAGGAGGAGGAAGGCCTGGGCTGACTGTGCTCACTCACCTGCAGTGGGCAGCTCTCGCTTTCTGGTGGTCCTGCCAGACTCGCTCTGGACTGCCTCAGTGCTCTCCCGCTCCTCAGAGGCTTCCTCTTCCAGCACGTCCTTGCCCTGCCCAGCTTCCTTAGCACCAGGCATAGGACTGGCTTCTCGGTGGGGGCTGCTGCCCACCATCTCCTGGGCCTCCTTGCTCTTGTAAGACTTGCTGTCACAGACCTGCAGGGATGGCCCTCGGGGTCAAGGGTGTTCTGATCTCCTGTATCTTAGGGACTCCCCAAGAAAGCAGCCCTGCCTTGATGCTCAGCAAGTCAACCAACATGCACACCTGCTCCAAAAATTAGACATGGCTTCGCGTCAAGTACAGCACTGCACCACTCTCCTCTAACCAAGGGCTCTATTTTTCCTGCCAACCAACTCCACTCTGGAGAGCCACAATGATCTTCAGTCTGTTTTCTTATTTCATCAAAAAAAAAAAAACATCTAAGAGGGACATATTTGAGCTAGCTGATTGATTTTTTTTTTCCATTCCCATTTCCATTTCCCATACTCAGAGGATTCCTGTTAAAACTAAAACCCATGTTTCTTTTTTTTCTTTTTTTGAGAGGTTTTTACTATAGGGTACGTGCACTCCCCAAAAAGACAAAGAGAGACAGGGAGAGAGGAAGCGAGAAATCACCCCCCAGGGGGGATGGCCATGCCACAATCCCTTCTCCTCCATTCTCCTCTCGGGATCTTGGGCATGCACGCACTCGTGCCCGGCATGACTTCAAGCCACAGGGTCTGAGACTTGAACCACGGTCAATTACAAGGTTGTCAGCGACATAGCCACTACACTAACTGCTGGTCCCAGTAAAACCCATGTTTCTAAAAAAATTCTCTTATATACACACACATGCTTATGTGTTCGTGTATTTATGTATGTGGTCTTCTCAGGAGTTCAGTGAGGTAGGAATCTGTGCCAGCCAACAATACGCCACACACGAGGCAGCGCTGTGGCCCCGCCCGGTGTCCCTGCTCACCTTGCTGCTACAGTGGCTGCAGGTCTTCCTTTTGCTCTTCTTCAGCTTGGAGTCAGGACCTCCGTCATGGCAGGAACAGGCACAGTCCTTGGCCCCCTCTGGCCACTCGGTCTCCTAGGAGATACCTGGGCTTGATTAGCTGCCAAGTATGTTTGGTACCAAGAGAAGAAGCTAAGATGTGAGCCATCTGAACAAACTCCTTAGTCCTCCCCATCTTACAGACCATCTCGTCACCCTGCCTGGGGGAAATGGCCTACTACAAATCCCTGAATCAATCCCTAAAATGACCCAAGACTGACAGAGCCCACCCACTCAGGTGTTTCAAGAAATAGTGAAATTAGGGACCAGCACATGGCCTAATGGTTACATCTCAGGACTCCCACGTCATCGACCACGGTTCAGGTCCTGGACCTGGAGGCTTAAGACTCAGGTGGGTGTGTGTATGTGCATGCCCAAAATCCAAGAGGGGAATGGAGAAGGGATTGCGGTGTGGCCATCCCCTGTGGCATGATTCCTTACTGTCTCTCTCTCTCTCCAGAGAATGCACACACCCTACAGCAAAAATCTCTCTCTCAAAAATAAATAAAGGAAAGAAATAATGGAGTCAACTACAGTCTGAGGCAGAATCGCTGGAGAGCTCAATCATGATCATCTGTGATCCTGCCTCCCTATGCCTCGAGCTTTCCCGTCCTCCAACTCTAGAGAGGGGGCTGTGTAAACAGGGAAGGTTTGCTCAGTGATACTCTCTGCCTAACAAGCGTAAGACCTAAGAGCCATTATTATCCCAACTTGTGATGAAGAGACTGAACAGAGGTTGGGTACACAGCCCAAGGTCATTCATTCAGCTTTTTTTTTTTAAAAAGAAAATGTTGCCTTAGGGTGCATGCGATCTTTTTTTTTTTTTTTTGAGAGGTTTTCACCATACGGCACGTGCGCTCACCAGACAGAGAGAGAGAGACATAGAGACAGAAAGCGAGAAATCATCCCCCAGGAGGGATGGTCACGCAGCAATCCCTTTTCCTCCATTCTCCTCTCGGGATCGTGGGCACGCACGCACACGCGCCCGGCGTGAGTTTTAAGCCACCGGGTCCGGGATGCGAACCGCGGTCGACTAAGTGGGAGTTCAGCAATATAGCCATTACTCTAACTGCTGGTTCCCAGGGCGGCTGCGCTCTTTGAGATTGGGGAGACAGAGACAGTGAGAGGAAAAATGAGAAATCATCCCCCAGGGAGGATGGCTCCTGCAATCGTTTCTCCACCCGTCATGCATGCACACGTGCCTACCCTAAATCTGAAGCCACCAGGACTGGGACACAAACCATGATCAGCTATGTGGGAGTCCAGTTATGTAAATGCTCCGCCACCTGCTGGTCTCTCATTCAGCTATTAAGAGACAGTCTCTCGGGGCCGGCAGATGGCGTGGTGGTTAAGGATGCTGGACTCCCCCATGGCCGACCGGGGGTCCAGTCCTGGACCTGGTGGCTTGCTTTCTCTCTCTCTCATCTCTCTCTTACTCTCTGGTCAAATTAAAACAAACAAATAAATAAGTCAAACAATTATTATAAAAAGAAAACAGTTTCTCCCAAGAAAAGAGTACAAACAGGTGATGGAATAAAAAAGAAAGAAAGAAAAAGGATTTAAAAAGATACTTCAAAAGAGCAGTGAGCACAAGTAGACTTGGCTTCCATCCCAACACTACCCCTTACTAAATTCAAGACCCAGCAACGGCCAATCTTCTGCATGTCTGGCTCCTGCACACGCAGCCTGGTCTATAACTAGCGATCTCTCCATAGCGCTCCATAGGGTTATCATGAGAATTAATGAGATACTAACCCATGTAAAATACTCCAAAATGATGCCTGAGGCTCTGCAATACAGCTCAGCCTTAGCTATTGTTATTACTTCTATGGGACAATAAACAACTCAAAGGAGAAATAGTGCTGAGCAAGAGAGAAAAGGGGGTGGACCCTTCTAATGAGGGACTATAGTGGCCTCTTGAGCAACTGTACTGATTTCCCACGGCTCTGCGTGTTCATAGCAGCCTGACCTTTGCTTTGGTCCGTGCTCCTCGACGGTCTCAGATCCGAGGTTTAAGGCAGACAGACATTCAGGGAGAAAACTCGAGGCTTCCATCATGAGAAATGGACCATCCGACAACCTGGCATACCTTATCATGGTTTTGGACTCCAATCTCTTTTCTTCTCTTGTTCTTTGAAGTTGTGGGTATCTTGGGAGGTTCCTCTTCCTCTTCCACTTCGGGCAGTGCAACTTCTTCAAAGCCGTCAAACTGGGCCGGGTGGGGGGGGGAGTTGGTACCACTCAGCGCAGATTTTAGTGGATATCCCTCCCACATGAGGCCTCCCCATCGCAAGGCCATGGCAGCCTCCAGGCCTGTACCTCATACTCCTTCTCCTCAGTCCAGTTGATCTCCTCAAAGTCACCCATACGGCTAGCTGCTGGGCGCAGATGGTCGAAGAAGACGGAGAACTCATCCTGTAAGTGGTCGTGGCCCTTGAGGAGCTGCCACATCTGCGTCTTAAGCTGAGAAGAGGTGTAGACAGAAAGATGAAGCCTGCACAACCTCTCTAGCTGCCCTTCCAACCAACCCCATACTTTATCATGTTCTGCCCTCCCCGACACCCTGGAGATGCACAGCCTCCCCTGGGTAGCTAAGCAGTCTTAACCTCTCTCCCTCCAAATCTGCCCACAGGGGAGAGGTGTTGCAAAACTGACTCTTAATCCAATATGCGCCAATCTTGCTCCAGGTCCTGTCACCTCCTTCCTTAAATATCCCTTCCAGGGACCAGCAGTTGGCATAACGGCTACGCTGCTGGACTCTCATGCAGTCGACCACAGTTCAAGTCCCGGGCCCGGGGGATTAAACTCGCACCAGGTGGTGTGCATGCGGGCATAAGATCCCAAGAGAATGGAGGAGAAGGGACTTCAGCATGGGCAACTCCCTGGGGAGTGATGTCTCACTGTCTGTCTCTGTCTTTCTGGAGAGTGCACGTGCCTTATAGCAAAAAAAAGGAAAAAAAAAAAAAAAAAAGACCCTTCCCGG